TGAAAAATAACCTGCATTTAGAGAATACAGAACATGTACTTATTTTATAAATCCTGACTTGGAACCAGGCTATTTTCATATATATATAGAGAACATGCATTTAGAGGACATGCATTTAGAGAGATTTGACTGTATATTACTTTTTATAGTTATAATAATTATTAGAGCAATTAAACTGTATTAATAAAAGCCAAAAACAATATACAAAATTTATTAAATTGAATTGTATTAAACTTGTAAATATAAATATAATGTTATAACTTGAATAATTATAATGAATCATTTTTGACTATAATATATTATAATTTATTATAATTTATTATATTATATTTATATTTTTAATCAAGCCTAAATTTAATTAAATAAGCTATAACATTGTGGTACTGTACTATCAACTCTTTTTGATGATTTCTTATACTAACTTTTTCATATGACCAACCTATAAAAACTATACTGCTATTATGTATTAATATGGCAAAATTTCTCTAACAGCACTAAAACTAAATAAAGCTATTTACTAAATATTGATTGTAACTGAAATAGAGTCAAAAAAGAGTCAAACTCTTTAAGTAAAGTTCTTTTAGAACTAGATAATGTTAGTATTTTAGATAGCCTATATAATTTATATAATGCTTATATAGTTTGTTAGCATACAAGCATATTTGTTCTTTTTTTTTTCTTTATCTTCTTTTCTTTTATTTGTGTCTTCTCTTCTTTTGGTTTATTGTTTAGATTATGCAGTATTTTCTTTTTTTTTTTATAATTCTTTTACTTTTTTCTTTATTTTGTTTTGTTTTTGTTATTCAATAATATTTATACTAAAAGCTAGATAAGAAGATTTAAGAAAAGTTATAACTAAGCAGTGATTTTAAGAAGTTTATATATAACAATTAGCTATAAAGAAAGTTAAATGAACTTCAAGAAAGAGTAAAATAGTCAATGCTACAAATTATATTTAGGCAGATATTTTAGTAACTAAATGAATCTTTTATATGAATAGGAGAGTTATTAATTGTCGCAGCTAATATTGAAAATAGTTTATGCTATAATTTAAGGTCTCTATTTAAATCTATAATACAGTCATCCTCCTATACAATTACACAGTTGGACACATAGTAACTTTTTTTAAAATGTGCTTATATAGAGATTGTGCTTATATGGAGGTTTTTTTTTTATAAATTAAATTATAGTTTGGCCTAAATAAAAATGTGATTACATATAATGTGATTATATAGGAGATAGTGTTCTAAGCTGATTAAAATTTTCTGGCTCGGCTAAGCCGTTAAAATTTTATTGGCTTAGCAACTTAGCCATTTTTTTTATAAAATAAAAAATTTTAATTTTTTTTATTGATAATATTTATAAATTTTATTTATACGTAAAAATATAAAAAAGTTAATGATCGAAGCTAATATATATGTATAACGATAATGTTAAAATTGTTAAGTTGATTATAATTTAAATATATACTATATATATATAAAATTTAAACCCTATTTATTACTTTAGTTTGTTTAAGCTTCTGAACTGTAAATATCTTTGTTAAAAGTAATTGGACCTTTCTAAATATTAAGTTAAAAATGATTAGATCTCTCTAATATAACTAAGCCATCACAATTTTTTAAAAAATTATCAAAATAATCTTTTTCTTTGCTTACTTTTAATTTTATATTCTAAATTTCCAACCCTGGATAGCAATTAAAAAGCTTGAAATTTTTTTTTAAAAATAACAGATCATATACCTGATTCGGATGAAGCCTATTACGTTTATCAGTTAGTATATTGCCTGCATCTAAAAAAGAGGTTCAGAAAGAACTGAGGTTGCTGGTATTGACACGTAAATTCTTGCTTGAGACACAAGCAGTAGTAATGATTTTGCATATTTACGCCAAAATAAAAGTAGGTTGTCTTTTTTATATTCAGAGTGATTCAAATTGTACTTAGGAACTAAAGGCAAACTATCATATAATTGCAATTCAATATCTAAAGATGATGAATGTGTGAAAGTATCATCATCATCAAAAAACTTGCTCATCATATGCTTATGTGTATCTTGAGTAGGAATATTAGAAGTAGTGAAAGTGGACAAATCAGATAAGTTTGCAATTTTTGTACGAAGCAAATTAACTGTTTCTATTTTTTTTGAAGGGCTTAAAAAATGTAAATTTTTAAAGCAGGGATCCAAGTATGATGCAATTAATTCTATTTCTTTTGGTTCATCCCAATGGTTTAGTATTGAATCATTCATTATTTCACAAATATCTTGAATTTTAGATGTAGTAAGCTTGATAGAAATATCATCAAGATGTAGAATTAGTTTATAAATAGTTGGATACATCATACCCATAGTCAGATATTGACTACTTTCTATAAAAGTAATAGATTGTGCAAATGATTGAAGAAGCAAGACCAATTTATCTAGATATTGCCATTTATAATTATCTAAAAGAAGATTATCTAATACATCACCATCATTTCTTACTTGCCGATTGATATCTTTTTGTAATTGTT